ATTGGTATAAAGGGAGAAAAGCAGCGGGGAAAGCACGCATCCCTGAGGGGCACCTGTACTGGTTAACCGGGTACTGGATGTAGTTTTGCCTAACCTCACATGTTGTTTCCTACCTGTTTGAAGACTGATTATCCGCCTACAGGTATGGTCAGGCACAGTAAGCTGGATCAGTTTGTTGTAAAGAATTTCTGGCATAATAGTATTAAATGCTGAGCTGAAGTCCACAAAAAGAACTCGTGCGTAAAACTCCAGAAATTCAAGGTGTTGCAGAATATAGTGCAAGTGACTAATTAGTGCAAGTGATTAGTGGTGACTAATCCAAAAAGTACATGGGTAAGAACATACAAAGCTGCCTTATATCTTGTCAGATTTTTCATAGACATAGTCTGTATTCTCAGTAGTTCTCCATTTTTTTGCAGCCTTGCTATTTTACTTTCTACAAAACAAAATCCTGTATGCATCTCCTGAGCTCTGATGCTTCCATACATTTCAGCAACCAATTCATTATTGTAGAGATAGGCGAGCTATTATTCTCTCTCATTTTCAATTCCTCCTCTGCCGTGTGGGGACAATACTAGCCTGCTTCATAGGGCTGACAAGCATTAATAAGATAAATATGAAGGTTCTTGGAGAGTACTGGCTGAAAAAAGATTAAAATAATGTGTTTTATTTTAGAGTGCTCTTTCTCCCAGCAGAGAAAGAATTTAGACTCAGAGAAGCACTTAACATTTACAGAAACTTCACATTTTAGAAGAACTTGCTTTCAGTGTAACTTCAACTATGGGACATCCTGTCAGGTTCAGCCCAAGAACCACAGTGTGACAAATCCAGGAACAGTTCAGTTACTTGATTAGCTTACACCTATTAGACAGAATCTCGCCAGACTAACTCTGATCCCCAATGGCAGCAACTAAACACTCCAAATTCCTTAGGGTGGTGCTAGTCTCCTTCCCTTCACTTTCACACGCTCTGGCTGAGGGCTGAGGAGATGCTTGAGATTCCTCTCCCCCTCCCTATGACCTTGGACCTCCTCGCTCATGTCTTCCGTCACACATGCAGAGCAATCATATAGAACTGCCTTCCCCGCATGTATCGTAACCTTCTCATGGTACCTCCCACATATGTTGGTCAGGTTGCCTACAATTAATGGGAGCTGATGGATAATGAGAGCTGAAGTAGGTCTAATGTATCTTGACAACTACCAGACAGCAGCAAAAAGATACTAAAAATTGGATTTCTGCAGCTCGGATCTGGTAGTCCTACCCTGAAGTCCAAAAGTTCTGGAGACCAACAGGTTAGAGAAGATAGACATAGCCAAGTATGTCAAGACACATTCCATTGACTACTGGATAATTCAGTCTATTTCAGTTCTTCAGAAACTGAGGAGAAATAGCTTCCATGAGAGAGCAGTTATCTGTGCTATAGGTACTGTATGTGTGGATAGCTGTGGTGTCATCCCTATTTGTTAATTTTTTTGATGTCCAAATCCTTGTTTATATTTCCTTAGGCCTTTATGATGAATTGGGGAGAGTAAGAACTCAGACTGACCATGCCAAAAACCTGTCTAGTGCAGCTAATCGTGCTAGAGACTGGTCAGAGACCAGGTCAGAAACTGATGACTGCAAACATGTCCATGTGGTTCATGTAGTCTTGGAGAGTTTTGTCTAAATCATCTGTCATATCAGGGAAGCTTGATTTCGCAACTCAGTTGCTTTTTTAAAAAAATGTTTTGAACTTTCTGCCCAAAACCAAAACAATATTAAAATGACCTATCTTGTGCTGCAAGCAAGCAAAGATATACAATACACAGGATATTGACAAAGTCTTTCATTCACATTGATTGATCTTCACTTGGGAGAGGTAGGATGCAGTGTTGTGGGACCACCAGCATATCTAATCCACTTTCTCCAATGAAATTCCCTGAGATAGAAATTGCTGGTTGTGTTTCTGCATTAGTTGAATTTTAGCTTGTGGGTTATAATGATAACTGGCCACAATAATTTATTGCAAACTATTATTCTTTCATAGGAGAAGTATTAAATAAGATGTCACCCCAGAAATGATTTTGTCCATACTCTTCTGTTTCTGAGTACCGTAATGAAGTAATTAAATCAAACTGCTTTATAAACCAGTTAATTATATATGGTTTATTTACAAAGCTTTTATAAGATTAATTTTATGTGGCAGAATATTAATTCTTTCTAGGTTTTCGCCAGAGGTTGAAAGTAACATTAATGAAATGTAAACATTCTTGGAAAAATAAGTCAAGAAAATAATCAGAAATCATGAGTTAACCTCAAGTGCCCAGCTTAAGCTAAGTAGTTTTAGAAAAGGAAAGCCAACAATTCTGTAGGAAATAATTTCTCAGACTAATAGACCTTTCTTCAGGAACACAGCCATAATATCCTCTTCCTTAAATTTCACCTATTAGTTTTCATTATCTAATGTGCCACATCCACCTTCAGTGAAATATTTATGATGCCATCTGCTCTAAAATTGTTGCTTACAATTGGAACTGTCTGGGTTAAATAATGTTTTTAATCTTTGTTCATAATTTAGCCACTCTGTTTCATTCATTTATCTTCTTTCCTGTTGAACTTTGCTATTTCTTCTTCCTATTTACCTGTGTTTCATTTACAATAATGATTCTAAATCAGCAGATTTTAGTATTAGAGTAAGCAATAGTTCATTCTTCCACAAAGCCTACAAGAAATGTCAAACTACTTGGACTTTTATTTTTTTAGAGGAAACCACAACCTGCTTTGTGTGTGTGTGCATATGTATTAGGGACACATATTCAGAGTTTGTAAAATTAGTAACAAAATAGGTTTGCATCCTGCAAATAGAGATCGAACTTACTGACTTTTCCTGGAAGCATTATTTGGTTAACTCTACATCTGAGGCCCCTTGCAGCTGTTTAGTGCTGCCAAACTGTTTGGCTGTTGAAAATTAATGGCATGTTTTGCTTATCCCCTTGGTGTAGGTACATGGCAGAATTTCACTGAAAGGATTTTCGCTTACATTTAAAAATGTACAACGCAGAGATTAGCAAGAAGTCTTTAAAAGGCAGTCTCCTTTCTCTATAAAAACATGTCCTACTCAAAGAACAATGATTTTTTTCTTGCCTTGGTGCAATGTCAGTCAAAGGAGCTGATGGAATAGCAATGTGAACTGAAGTAGCTTCCTCTAGTGTAACCAGCTGCATTAGCTGAAATATGAAGAAGGGGACTCAAGAAGCCTTCCTGTCCATTGCACCGGAAGCTTGGCAGATATGAAAAGGTCACACACAAAGATCTGTTTCTCTGTCAGAGAGATTACCTACAAGAGGCTCCCTCTGTTGCAGAAGCAGAATTACCTGGTGTTGCAGACCCAGACTTCTCTTCCATAATTCTTCCGAGAAGCTGGGGATTTAGTGAGGAGGTACTTTGGGGAGAAGGCAAGGTTCTACCCCCACTAAACTAAAGTCATCCAGCCTCCAGGAGATACACTAATAGGCAATCCAATCCTCACCCTAAAAAAAAAATTTTTTTTTTTAGCCTTGCTGTAATTTGAGCCAAATGAACATACATGCAGGCCATGATGCTATGTTATATAAAGGAAATTAAAAGAGTAACTAAATAGTAAACAAAAGAAAAAGAAGCCAAGGGATTAAGAAGAAAAAAAGGAAGTCTAACCATCTAGTTTATACCAGCAACTTTCACTGTAACTTGCAACCCAACTTTGCTTCCACCAAATCCATACACTACTTCATACATTACCTTTTGTTTTTTAAACTTCTTGCCTTTCCCTTTTTATAGATCTCATCAACTCCACTCAAACAATACTTTTAAGTATTTAATTTTGGTTCTGAAAGCAGAATTACCTTTACAAAAATATATACAATGTATCCAGTAATTAATTTTATGTGACTCCCCACTAACTTTCATCAATAATTTATTTTTAAATTACAGCCCAATTCAGTATTTTAATACACTTTCCCAGTGCTACTAACTGTAGAAAATAACATTATTATTTGATTTTCTAGCTTTCTGACTTCTGTGCACAGAAAATTATTTTTCCAACTTTTAGAGTACTTTTTTTAATTGTGCTGTTACTAAAGAAACTTCATTGTGTAAGTCTCTATTCCTAGATTTCTTATTCCCTATGTATAAAGTTGTCTTTATAACAACTAGCATTCCAATACATTTATTAATCATGATGGTGTCATGAGATGCATAAAATGTGCATACACACGCACATCCTTTCACAGGAATAAGGCCCATTAAATCAATCATTGTGTGCGCTCGCTCTCTCTCTCTCTTAGAAATTTAATTTTACTAAAAGTAAGTATAGATTTTTTTTTTAAATTTGCTAGCATGCCCATGAGTGTTTTTAAAGAAAACACATAAAAGTTATATCTTGCTTTACATGGAATTTTGCCATGATTTCAGATTTCCAAGCAAATGCCCTGAAAGAGATTAGCATTAACTATTTTTTTGCCTTTCATGTATTTGTATGTGTTGTCTTAGTAAAACTACTGGTGTGCTTAAATCTCTTCTGTAATACTGATCTGTGATTTTTGAAAGGAAAATGATAAAGTAACTCCAATGTGGCTTAACTTGATAATAGGTTCCTGGATTTGAAATGTATATCTCCTTTATTCTATAGTGTTTCTCATACATTCAGTAATATTGTCTGAAGTGGTCTATGCCCTAAATTATGTTGATACAATCAATCTTATTCCAAAAATTATAGCAATGACATAATTATTGCCTGTTGATAACCAGCATTATTCACACGATTAGCTAATGCAATGGTTTAAAAAACAAAAAACAGAAAAGTCCTATTTTTCAAGGAAGAAATCACAGTCCCCTTATCCATCCTGCCCTTTTGCTTCTCTTTATTTTTGCTTGTAACTCAAAATAAGATTTAGAGAAAGGGAGGGTGGCTAAGCAATGCTGTAATAAAATTACAAAGTGATGCTGGACCTTTTGTTTCTTTTTAATTGGTAATTGTGTTAAATGTTCTTTATAAAACAGATAAATAACCAGATTTTATATGGGAGAAGTCACCAGAATGCTTCTGCAATAATTAAGACGGCACCATCAAAGGTCAAACTGGTATTTATACGGTAAGAATGATAGTCATTAACAGTTGGGCTGATGAGGTCAGGAAGTAACGGCCTGAACTAGGAAGTGAGAAATAAAAGATTCAGTGTTCTAATAAAACTGAAAGTTGCTAACATGTCTAGTCAAGGGCAAAATATAATGTGTTCATAGGCCATGGATATCCAGGTTAGTTCCTGTCAGGTGCAGGAGAGAGCTTGCATCAAGGGTTCTCAGAAAAAGCTTCTGGGATGCAGAAATAAGCAAACAACTGGTTTTCCCCTCTCTATTTTTGAAAAGAGAAAGAAACTGTTTAGAAACTATTAAGAAAGTGTTAAATTGCTTGTGGGTAGTTTCTGGATAATTTAAGGTGCTGCTATTGATCTATAAAGCCATTCAAGGCTTAGCTGCTGAATATCCACAGGACCACCTTCTCCAGAATCTTCACCTTCTCCAGAATTGGCTCGGCTCGGCTCGTAAGGAGCAGCTGCTGATGGTCCCACTCTTCTGGGAAGTGAAGGGGCCCATGGTGAGGTGCAGTGGCAACACAACTCTGGAATAACCTCCTCTTGGAGATCGGGCTAGCCATATCCCTGGTGGTCTGGTGCTAAAAACCAAATCATTCTGGAGGGCATTATCTTTATTTAATACATTGTGCCATTTTTTGATTTTATTTATTTATTTACTTTTATTTTTATTGTCATTTACATTGTTATTTTACCATATTTGTTTCAATTGTTACATGTTGTATACTTTGTAATTGGTTGACTGAGGCAGGGAATAATTTCAATAACGAAATAAATACAGACACGTGCACATAACCTGTTTATCCATTCTGATGTGACCCACCTGAACAACAGTGCAAAGAGGGTTTTGAATCAATTTCCAGTTATTTGCCTGGCTGGTTGTGCTGAGGACTAGAAAGGGCAATATCAAAAGGAATACATGAATGCTTCAACTCCACTGAGAAAAGGAATTTATTAAATTGGGTATTAATTTAGATAGGTTTGTCAATTGCATCTATTACATGCTCAGATGCTATCTGTGTGTGATTTTTTTTGTAAGTTAACACTGGTTATTTTTAAGGAATTGATACTATTTTTAATTCTATGCCATTGATATTTACTGTGGATGTTTTATTTTGTATATTATGAACATTTTAATTGTGTATTTTCTTGCTTGCTAACCACTTGGAATCTTGCCTATTGGGGCAGTGCATAGATCTGATAAATCAGTAAATAAATAAAGTGAATATTCTGGTAAATCTTTAGGAATGTTCAGCCCCACTTTTCTACTCAATTGGGCTGTAATGAATTCAGGAAAGGACCTGGAAGAGCTGTCACTTTGCACATTCATACCTTCAGGTGGGTAGGAAACTGTGCATAAGTGAATCTTCTGTTTACACATACAAATTGAGCAATAGGAATAGCACAAATCATTCAAGCCAGCTCCACTTCCCAGTTCAATCAGACTTGAAGGCCAAGAAAAGCTTTAAACAAAGGGTTTTGGATATGGCTGCCCAAGAGGATATAGCATTTTTTAAACATCTCAAGTCCTTGAAATGGCTGGCCCAACACAAATCAGTCTTCCAATTAGAAAAGTACTTAACAGCTCCCTTACCCCAATATCTTAGAAGAGCTCGTTTCAGTCAATTAGTCTCTATGGTACGATATGGGAGATTTCAAGGAGTTCCATATGAAGAAAGGCTATGTATTTGTGACGCTTCAGCTGTTGAAGATACCGCACACAAATATTTGATTGTAAATTATACTCAGTAGAAAGGACTGACCACTTAGATTTATATTTAAAAAATAAAAAATACCA